GGATCATGTGTAATTAGCAACTCAAAAAATTTCATGATTGAAAATATTTTACTGGTAGATGGCTTAAAATATAATTTTACTCAGCATTAGCCAACTTCCTGATAAGGGTTTCATTATAAAAATTTTATCTACCAACTACATGGTTAGCTTAAATGGAAATACTATCTTGCACCTAAAAATAATTAACAATATTTACATACTTGATCTATATTACATTGATTCTACTAAAAACTGTTACTGATGAATCTTAATTATAGCATAGGAGACTGTGTCATGCAAGCAAGAAAAATCTTAGAACAATCACTTAAAAAGACTTAGTAAAAGGAATACCCATACTAGAATTCACTAAAGATCACCTGTGTGATGCATGTTAGTTGGAAAAGCAAGTCAAATCCTCCTTCCACTCAATTGAGGACATTAGCACTAGCAAACTTTTATAAGTCCTTCACATATATCTCTTTGGACTCGTTGGCACTACAAGCCTAAGAGGGAAAGTCTTTGGGTATGTGATTGTTGATAATTACTCGAGGTTTACTTGGGTGAGATTCTTATCTCATTAAAGTGAATCATTCAAGGAGTTTAGGACATTCTTCACTTAGATTTAGAGAAAGCTAGCCTATGAAATTCTGACCATTTAGAGTGATCATGATGGCGAATTTGAAAATAAAAAATTTGAATCTTACTATTAGGAGCAAGGGATAGATCATAATTTTTTAGCTCCTAGAACCTCTCAATAAAATGGGATTGCTGAAAGAAAGAATAAGAACTTGGTAAAAGCTGCTAATGCCATGTTAGCTTAATACTCACTCCATAAATACTTCTGGGCAGAAGAGATAAATGTAGCCTTTATGTCATGAATAAGGTTAATGTTAGATACAAGCTAAATAAGACACTCTATGAAATTTTTAAGGGTAGGACACCAAACCTCTCTCACCTTCAAGTCTTTGGATGTAATGTGTTCATCCAAAATAATAGGAAATCTCTACAAGGAAAGTTTTACCTCAAATATGATGGAGTTTTCCTAGGATACTCAAATTATATATACATGCTCGTGGCCAACTCTCTTTTTTTCTCTCTCATCTTCTCTCTCTTTTTTTCTCTCTTCTCTCTCTTCTCTAACTCGACATGCAAATAAAATGGGGGGAGGAGATGGCTTGGTTGAGGGTTTTATCAAAATGTTTTTTATTTTTTTATTTTAAAAATAACTTTTTTTCCTAACATTGGTGCGCTCAGGATCCTAGCTTCGTTGTAAATACTTAAATTCTAAAAAAAATTAATATCTTGGCATCACAAAGCTTTGTAGGTTCAACACCACAACACTTTCTTAGTGAATTTTTTAAAATTTAGCTTGAGGCTATTATAGTTGTATTCCTTTCTCTTTATGTAATTGCTGGCGAGTTCTACAATTTTGGTCAAAGATTTTGTTTACTTCAATCTAAGTGCATATTAGAATTCACTAACTAGGACCTTGATTTAATGCAAGGGTAATAATAGGTTCCAAAGCTTTGGAATTTAATATCTCATGGTAGACATGAGTGATAAATTTTCATAATGATTTTATGGGTTTTTGTCTGATTTCAACAAATCTTGCAAGTTGTTCAACTATTTCTGAGCACTTACAAATTATTCAATAAATATCCATTTGAACTTAATTAAATTTGTGATACTTTTGGGTAAATTTTTTTTTAAAACTATCTCAAAATCTCTTCTTTAAATGTCGTAAAGAATAATAGCATTTTATTACATCATAAATATTGAACAACGAAGTAACTGTCTTAAGGTATGTCACATGGTCAACTAGATTTGACTTTTCTTAATATAAATTTTAAAGCAAAATTTTAAACTTTATTGGGATTGTGCCTTAACTTACTAAAATAGTGGTCTTAATGTTTCATGGTTGTCTGGGTGGTCGGTCAAATCTATCTCGGAATTTAATGTCATTGTCTTTACACATTAATATTGTTTTTGTAAAACAAAATTGAAATATCTTTCTAGCATCTTCATCATTATAGCTTTAGGAATATGCTCCAATACTCCTTACGTCGTATTATAATACTTTCTTCTATCTCAATCAGTTGCTTTTTTGGTGACAATAATTGGCTTTCTATATAAAAGCCCGTATAGGTTGTTAAACCTATAACAGTTGTCCCAATCTTAACCAAGAGAAGGGGGGAGGGGGGTGAATTGGTTATTTTAAAAATTCTCTTGGAAATTTATGAAAATCATTTTATTAATTTTTATACAAAGAAAATTTTCAACTACAAAAAACAAAATTGCAGGAAAATAAAAAATGCATAAATTTAAAAAGAACACAGTAATTTATAGTGGTTCAGTCCAACTGGACCTACATCCACTCTCTGAAGACTCCCTCTTCAGGTATTTCACTATTACCAAAGTAACTCTCCTTTTGCCCCCACAGCAAGGCGAAGAAGCCTTTACAATTTTTCTCTTCTACTAATCACCTGTGAGGCAGAGTACCATTGTTCTTTCACACCCTTCAACTGTCGGTAGAGTACCATCGTCATTTCACACTTTCTAAGTGTTGGCAGAGAACTAGCATCATTTCATACCTTCCTGGTGTTGGCAAAGAATTGGCCTCCTTTCACACCCTCCTAGTGTCAGCAAAGAACCGACGTCCATTCACAAACTCCAAGTGTCGACATAGAATCAGATCTTCTTCAAAGATCTTCTCTCGCACATCTTCAAAGAAGTAAGGAAGAGATTTACTACAATATAAAGAGATTCTCATCTTTGAGTAACCTTGTGAACTCTTTACACTCTTAAATTACAAGTTCTTTCTCTCAAACACTTCACAAATCACTCTCACACTTTTTCTCTCAAGAAAAATGAAGAAGGATTCGTCCAAATCAGTTTCTAAGGACTTTACATAGGAAAAGCATGAACAATCATCTAAAAAACTGATAATTTGAAATTTGACCATCTGCAATCATATAGTATGATCGAAGATCCTACGTATGAATAGTTCAAAGTTTTGCTCATAGGATCTTATATGAAATATTTTCCTACATGCACATCGTACAGTACGAACAATATATCGCCCTGTACTATTAGATCAACCATCTTTACTATTCGTATGGACGAAAATATTCACATCAATTTTGTGCTCTGAACGTCGTCTATAAGAACTCAAGATCGTCTCGGACAAACAGTTCAAAAAATTTACCTGTTCATATGGACTAAAATGTTCACATTAATTTCATACTCTAGACATCATCTGTATAAACTCAAGATCATCCCATACGAACAGTTCAAAAAATTTACCTGTTCGTAAGGATGAAAATGTTCGAAATAATTTCGTACTCTAGACATCGTCTGTACGAAGGCAACTTCGTACAGTACGAACACTACTTAGAAATTTTTCGTTCATGATTTGATTAGCTGCTTGCTGGAGGAACTACCTGGACAAATCATCCCGAACGATCCAAAATTGTATAGTACGATTAGTTTAAAAAATTACAAGTTTTAACACTCCCTAGTGTGTGTGTGTGTGTGCACGATTATCCAAATACAATCACACACTCTCACACTCAAGAAAAATATAAAAAATATTGACTTTAAATACATTTAATCCTAATCTAATATGTCTTGAAGTCTTTAACAATTTAGAGTATAATTTTCCTGAAATGTTAGTATACACAAACAACCAAAGTAATATATCCAGTATATGCTAGGAGAAACATTAATCAAATAATAATATTTGAAATCATAAAAAACACACACAATATAAAACATAGTTATGAAAACTAGGTTGCAACAACTATGTTTATAAAATAATCAATATTTTGCTACTCATAGTGCTAGCTTATGGCTCTTGGCAAAGACCCATGTTGACCACACCTTTGAAGATGTTGAATTCAAATATATTTATACTTAATAAAAGAATCTTATTAATAAGACTAATAGTAAAAGTATAACAAAAATATTGAGAGAGAAATAGGGAAAGAGTCCAGAAAGATAGGCCATATGATTTTACTATATTACCATAAGTACAAGATATAATTACAAATAATTGTTAAGCATCGGTTGGGATAACTTTTTAGTAAAAAAATTTAATTTTTGTATTAAAAAGCTACTTTAAGAAGATGGAAGAAAGCCATCCCAAACAAAGCCTTATATGTTAGGCCTACCACCTATCCCTTTGTGTAAAGGCTTAAGCCAAGGTTTAGCTCTACAAGTGAAGCTACATTTTAGCTTTAAAATAAGAGAATACATAATAATACTTTAATAACTGCTTGTTTGTAAATATGAGTCTTATGATCGAAATATATATATAATTGCCTGAAGTCAATTTTGATGAAGTTGCCAACTTGTTTGATAGAATGCTACCGAGTAACTCTAAAACCTATGCAAGTAGGTTAATGAACCTTTGGACCAAAAAATGCTCACAAACAAGTTCAACATGACATGTTACAAATGTCTTTGGCAAGTTAACATAAAATGTTGCAAATTATGACAAATTTGGCAAGTTCACACTGAACAAGGTGGATTCCCAATGAAACTAGTGAGTTCATTCCATTCATCCCTCTGATTTGGCTGAGCTGCATCAAAGTAGATCAATTTGACTCGAATCAATCCTTTGAGATATTTGGATATATGATGATGACACTATTTTTTGACACGTGATCTTAATATCGTGTATCATAATTTTATCATATATCATAATCCTAAGTGCAACAAAATTATTAGATAATACAATTAAATTCTTAGATATATAATCTAAATTATTAAACAAATGCAGTTGGCTTTGAACTATTGGTTGAGTGTTTTGACCATCAGTCAAAGAGTCTTAGATTTGAAGTTTAATTATATTTATTTCATAATTTAACAATCTTCGATAATCTAGTTGTCTTTGTCTAATAATTCAGTTATATTGAGATATAATGTATGATATTCAAAATAAAACAAATAAATTATAAAAATATGTCCGGTCACCTTAGAATGACGGGCTTAAACGGGCAAAACGTGTAAAGCCGGTAGTTCTAGTTTGTTTTAGCGCCAAATTGCCGAAGCTTTCTAAAATCGCGGAGTCGGTTCCTTGCTTGTGGACGAGCTCCGCTCCAGAGTCTTTTCTGGCTGTGCTTCTTTCCTATTATCGGTAACTTGTCCATGGCGGAAGTTCTCAGCCTTTGGTCGATCCGTTTTGGGAGACCATTTTTCCTGAACAGCCTCTGGACACTAGGAGGCGTAATCACGGAAAGATGGCTCCTTGTCCACCGGTGCAGGAGGACGACAACGAACGAACGCAATGAAGATACATCTTGAAACAAAATAGATTTTAGGTTTGTTTAGATTAGAATAGCATCTAAGCTTCGTCTCCTCTTATTGTTTTGGGGAAATTGATTTCATGGTTTAGGTTTTTCTGTCGCTGAGAAGTGAAGGATTTGAACGCTGCCTCGTTTTTTGAATTTGTGTAGAAGAATTCTCATGATTAGTTGAGGTAAATAATAAAACGGCTAAGGGGAAGGAAAATTTTGGAAATGTCTGAGTCTGATTCTCCGCCTGTTTCTGAAAATTCCTCTTCTTCGGACAATGCGAACTCGGGCGATTCTTTACCATCCTCGTTGGGATCTAGCTCATCGCCTCCTTCTCAAAACTCTACCTCGTCGCCACCTTCGCCAGCGTCTAGCTCTTCACCGCCTTCAGCAGGGTCTAGATCAACGCCTCCTTCTCAAAACTCAAGCTCTTCGCCACCTTCGCCAGCGTCTAGCTCTTCACCTCCTTCAGCAGGGTCTAACTCGTCGCCTCCTTCTCAAAACTCTAGCTCTTCGCCGCCTTCAGCAGGGTCTAGCTCTTCGCCACCTTCGCCAGCGTCTAGCTCTTCACCGCCTTCAGCAGGGTCTAGCTCATCGCCTCCTTCTAAAAACTCTAGCTCTTCGCCACCTTCGCCAGCGTCTAACTCTTCACCGCCTTCAGCAGGGTCTAGCTTGACCTCACCACCCTCATCGCCTTCTAGCATATTGCCTCCACCATCAAAGCCTAGCTCATCGTCAACTCCAGGGACTTCTAATTCATCATCTTCTTCACCATCTCCTCCATCATTAATACCACCCCCGCCTTCACCTCCAAGCCCTATTCAATCAGATTCTCCTTCACAGAGCAAATCTTCAGATGGAGATTCGTCTCCACCCATTTCATCAAAATCTGGCTCTTCTCCTTCACCCCCAAATTCTATTGCTTCAGATGAATCCTCCTCCTCCTCCTCATCTTTACCATCTCCACCTTCGCAGGGTAACCAGAATGCTGACAAGTCTCCTCCTGGTGGTGATGTGAAATCACCATCAAAACCGTCTCAGCCTAATTCTTCACAGGGATCTATAGATGGCTCCCCAGCGACGCCTTCTGATTCCCTTTCTTTGGATGAAAAACCAACTCAAACCACCCCACACGTGAGTCCTCCTTCGATAGGATCATCCAATGTTTCTGTTGATAAAGGAGGTACTTCCACTGGAGCTATAGTTAGCTTGGTCCTTGTTGGAGTTGCGATTACATTGGTGACTATTTTCTTTGTGATCTCAAGGAGGAAGAAGAAAAGATTGGATGCTTTGGTTGATCACTACCGGCAGCCGCCTAGCTTTTCTGTTAAGTCAGGTAGAATATTAACATTGTAGTAATTGATGATTTAGTTTGCCTTTCTTTGTTAAGACTCTTGATATTTGAATCCAAAGCTATTTGCTCTACTTTCTAAATGCTCTTGAATGGCTTATAGGAAACCTCCCTGGTTTATTTCTTTTAAGCCTTTAAAAGAATTTAAAAGTGGAAATGTAAATCATTTAAGGAAGGGATATATCAATCCTTTTTGTAGTCTGTCAAGAACAATGTTTTATTTGGAAACAAACACTTTTAGTGATGATAATGATTTGTATTTTGTGTTTGCAGATAATTATTACCATAGAAATGAAAACCCCATGGGGCATCCCAACTTTTCAGAACAACATTATGGATCTCCACCACAATTATCGAATACCTCTGGCTTGTATGGCAGTCAGCGGAGACAAGACTATTACTCGCAGCCAGACCCATCTGGCAGTAAGTCATGGTTCAACTATGAAGAGCTGATGGGAATAACAAATGGGTTTTCTCATGAAAATCTCATTGGTGAAGGTGGTTTTGGGTGTGTATACAAGGGTGCCCTTCCTGATGGGAAATGCGTTGCAGTGAAACAGCTCAAAGCAGGCGGTGGTCAAGGAGAGAGAGAATTTAGAGCAGAGGTTGAGATCATTAGTCGTGTTCACCATCGTCATTTGGTTTCTCTTGTGGGTTATAGCATATTTGAAACTCAGCGATTGCTTGTTTATGAATTTGTTCCGAATAAAACTCTGGAGCATCATTTACATGGTAATTTTGTTCATTTGCATTATGTATTAATTGATAAATTGCAAAACAAAATACTGAATTGAGATGAATTTAATGCCTTACTGATCAGGAAAGTGGCTGCCTGTTATGGACTGGCCAAAAAGGCTAAAGATTGCAATTGGTTCAGCCAAAGGATTGGCATACTTGCATGAAGACTGTAAGTCCGCTTAAATCCTATATCATCTCATATTAGCTCTTTTTTTCTAACCATGTGTCTCTACAGGCCACCCTCGAATCATCCACAGGGACATTAAATCTGCTAACATTCTTATAGATAATGATTGGGAAGCACAGGCATGTAAACTAAATTTAATATGGTTGATTATTGGCTTTATGACATCAAATTTTAGCAGATTGATATGTGAGATGATGATTACAGGTTGCTGATTTTGGCCTTGCAAAACTTTCAAATGATACTCATACGCATGTGTCTACTCGTGTCATGGGAACCTTTGGGTGGGTTATAGACTTTTTTCTACAAGTTTTTTTTTTTTTTTTTGTTACAATGGGAAATTGAAAACTGCTCGATTTTTTTCAGTCATTAATTTCCTGATGGCATGCTCAACAGAAATCATCGTCCTCTTCATTATATCAATATCACTTATCCTTATTCCAAATATTAATGGTCCAGTTTATGAATCCACTTTTGAACCTTCTACATGTTAACTCCAACTTTTGTAGATCTCTTCTCACAACATCAAGTTAGCCTACCAGTTCCTTTACTAGTTACATGAATTCAATTTTCTTGCCTTATTGTTGCATGCTTTGTTTTCCATTCTTCAAATTCAACCCACTAGGATTTTTTTTTTCTTCTAAACTTTTATGCGTAAGAGATGATATTTCTATTTCGCATCTCATAGAATGGTAAGGTTTACATTTATCCATCTTAAAATTTTATTTCTACCATGCTCAGTTTTTTTCTTAGTGACCTAAATCCTTTAGTTTTTTGCCAGCTTTATTATATACTTCTCATTTTGGAACTAAAAATGTTGTATGTGCGTTTTCTGATTTCAGATACTTGGCCCCAGAGTATGCATCAAGTGGAAAGTTGACTGATAGATCCGATGTTTTCTCCTTTGGTGTTGTACTACTAGAACTTATAACTGGACGTAAGCCAGTTGATGCTAGTCAACCAATGGGGGATGAGAGCTTGGTTGAATGGGTATGTTCAGAAGGAATATAGACCGATTTCATTCCATGTCATTATAATTTTTTTTTTCCACTATGGTCAGATTATTTTTTTGTGGTAAAATTCAAGATTTTAAGATTTGAGTTGTTCAGAAGAAAGCTAATGTTATGTGGAAAAAAGTAGCTAGTGATATTAAACAAGTTGCAAAGTATGTGCTTGAAAAATCAAAAGAAAAAGCTCCTAATAATAAAAGTAATTGGTGGTGAAATCAAAATGTACAAGAAAAGTTAAAAAATAATAAAATTTGTTATAAAAATTGATTTAAATGTAAAAATTCATAAAATTGGAAAATATATAAAGAGTCTCGTAGTGTCTTTAAGAAAACAATATGTGATACAAAGAATTTAGTTTTTAGTGATTTATATAATAGATTAGATATTAAAGATGGTGAAAGATGTATGTATAAGTTAGCTAAACAAGGAGATAGGAGAATGAAGGATCTAGTTCAAGTGAAATGAGTTAAGGATGAAGATAAAAAAATGCTTTCCTCAGAAGAGGATAATTAACGTAGGTGGATGAAATATTTTGATGAGTTTTTCAGTGAAGGATTGTATGAATACGATTGATTTTAGTGACATAAACACCTTTATGAAAATAGAGATTTATGTTTTTATCGTCGTATTAGTAAAATCAAAGTTGTACAAATTTAAAGAAAATGAAGTTTGAAAAAGCAGTGACACTTGACGATTTTTCAAATAGAGTTGTGGAAATGATTAGAAGATCAAGAAATTTCTTAGCTTACTAAACTTTTGAATTTTATTTTGAAGACAAAATATATCAGATGCATGGTGGAGTGAGTTGGTTATGAATTTTAAGAATAAAGGTAATGAACAAGAGTTTGCTAATTATAGAGGAATTAAGTTAGTATGACATGCATTAAAATTATGTGATAGAGTAATTGAGCATAGGTTACGATGTGATATTAATGTTTCTTAAAGTCAGTTTGGACTTATACTTAGTAGATCTATTATGGAAGCTATACATTTATTGAAAGATTTGATGGAAAAGCATAGAGAGAATAAGGATGATCTATATATGATATTTATTAATTTAGAGAAAACATATGATAAAGTTCCACGAGAAGTACTCTTGGAGACTTCTAGAAAAGAAAAAAAAAGTTAATAATGCTTATATTCAAGTCCTTAAGAATTATGCAAAAGCTATTACTTTTGTTCAAATATTAGGTGGTTTGACCAAGCATTTTTCTATTTTAATTAGATTACATAAGGATCATCTTTAAGCCATATTTTTTGCTTTAGTCATGGATGCTCTTACTAGACATTTGTAAGAGGATTTTCCCTAGTGCATTATTTTTTATGTTGATATTCTTCTTATTGATATGATTTGAGAGACAGTAGAATGAAAAACTTGAATTATTGAGGTCAACCTTAGAGTCTAAAGGTTTTCGTTTGAGTAGATCTAAAATTGAATACATATAGTATAATTTTAGTCGTAATAGATCATTTTGGATGATCAAGTCATTAAAAGACTATATATTTTAGATATCTCAGGTCTATTTTTCAAAGCAATGGTGAAATAATGGGGATATTATTAGTAGATTTCATGTTGGATGGTTGAAGTGGATAAATGCATCAGACTTATTGCGTGATAGAAAAGTACCTCTCAAACTTAATTGAAAAATTTTATAAGATGATAGTGAGACCTGGATGCTTTATGGCACAAAATATTGTTCATTAAAAGAGAAACATAAAATTAAGTTTAGTATTGTAGAGATGAGGATGCTTACTGGATGAGAGGCTTTACATTTAGAGATAGAATAAATGAGTATATATGGGAAATGGTTGGAGTACCTCTAGTGGAAGATATGATTAGAGAGATTCGCCTTATCTGATTTGGTCAGATAAAACGTCAGCCTTCTAATGATTTGGTTATGAGAGTAAATATATTAAATCAGGTTTATGTTAAGAAATATAAAGGTATACCTAAAAAAGATTGGTTAGAAAGTATTAGAAATAATCTTTTTTATTATATTTAAATGAGAATTTTACTCTTAATAGGACAATATGAAGAAAAAGTATTTATATAGTTGAGATAAATGCTTCATGTCGTTGTTGTTTATGCTTCATTGGATTTCTCATAGGCCACTATAAATAGATTTTTATGAGTTTTGATACATCATAGGTTAGTGGCTATGGTTAATCTTATTTTAATATAAACATAATAATTTATAGTGGCCTTTGCAATCTATATTATTGTGAAATTCAAGTGCAAAGATTTTATGATGATTTAATCGTTTTGAAAAATCCTTTGCCAAAATAAAATTTGTATTTAGGTCAAAATCACCTCTATATTTTAGAAAAGAAAAAGAATGCAGTTCGAAATACATTATATCTAATGTTTTTTTTATTTTATTTTTTTATATCTAATGTTGTTTGGCTTTGACCCAAATATATTCTATTTTTTTGTAAAACTTGGCTATTGGCTTTACGCTTAGAGACAAAAAGTGAAATGAGTATAGGATTGAGTAGCTTCAATGGCAGATAAGATTAGAAAGAGTTGCCTTGGATGATTTGGTCACATGAAGTGTTGGCCTTTAATGGGTGTGTGTGTGGTGTTGCATTGAATGTATGAACTATGTTTATGCTATGGGTTGACATATGTTTAGATTTTATTTGATATGTAGTACCCACTAAACACGCATGCGCACATGTCGATCAAGTAATAAAGTGATAAAGAGAGTGTCAATCCTACAAGAAAGTGTTATGCTAACATGCAAATGAGCTATTGTTGCCTACTATAGCTAGAATGTTTATCCTACTGATTGAAAATAATGATTGAGTTGTATCAATACAGAGGATTGCAAAAGAAAAGATAAGATACTAGATAATAAAATATTTTTTTACTAATGAATACAAATTATCAAAGTTTTCTTAATGAGACTTTTATTTATGTGGATCAAAGCATATGCATCCTTAGATTTCTATCAATTTTGTAGGGATGTATAGGGAGATTTATGGTCTTCCTACACTGATTTTATCTTCATAGAACATAGAAGGTTAAACATCTGATATCTAAGCATGCAAATACTCCATTCTAATACTCCTATGTTTTTCAATAGTCCTCTATTGAGGAAATATATCACACTAGTTATTAACTACACACATGACCACTGTATATATTATATTAAATTAAGATCGAGAGATATTAAAAACATCCATTTCTCATTCAAAGCGCGTAGTCTACATTAGCATTAACATTAGATTCACATCATTAGCTCAAAACTATGGAATTAGTCATACATGGAATGCAAAAAAAAAATCAAATTTCATTGCTTACATAAAAGAGAAATACAGGAGTAAAAGTTATTTTAGATGTGACCCTAATAGTGCAAATGCATTCTCCATACTCTTTTCTCCTCCAAATATCTGATTGCTTACAAAGACACAGGTTAATAATTCCAAAATGTAGTATCCTTCTCTCCCATGAACTCTCTTAAACTTTACTCTAAGGAGGCACTCATATCTGTTAATGGCGAATGGCGCACCATGGCGCAGAGGTCCATTTGGAGCCATGGCGCATAGCGTACGGCGCGGCGCGCGCTATTTTGAACATGGCGCAAGCTATATAAAAATTATAAAATAATAAGCATGAATATGAAATATTATTAACATAATTCTCTTCATCACCCTCGGTACCGCTACTTCATAATCCTATAAGAACTGAATTTGACATTTTATGATCACCTAAAAGCAAACATATTTAGATAAAAGAAACATAATATTGTCCAAGAAACATAATATGGGGGCTGCCGGGGTTCCAAGGCGGCGCTGCCCCCTGGCGGGGTTCGAGCATGTCATGTAACTAGCGGTACCGAGCGGTATAAAAAATATTCATAAGTATACCAAAATTTAAAAACAATTTGGCGCGCTATTTTGCGCCATGTGCAATGCGCCATGGCTCACATGTGGAGCAAATAGCGCGCGCTATTTTAAACACATGCGCCTCGCCATGAACATGGCGCCGTAGGTGCGCCGCGCCGCGCCGTGCTCCATGGCGCGCGCTATTTTACGCCATTGACAGCTATGGAGGTACTACAGTCTGACTAAAATAGATATAATATGACAGAACTCCCACTCAAACTAACTAAAAAATTATTTATACTTCTATAGAAATAGACTCAGGCGCCACGACGCTCGACTTAGTGGTGCCATAGCTTTATGAAATAAACTAACGCCTCATCGCTGTTGGGCTTGTTTTGTTGTGGCATTGGGATGATTCGGTGCATCTAATTGTTGAACCGGTGCGTTGCTTGGCTGATTCAGCATAGCTCCATCTTTAATCAACTACTCTGTCATGACGCTCTGAAAGTTGAGCGCTGCGACACTTGAATGTGCAATCCGGCGCTGCGGTGTTATAAAGTTAGGCGCTCCGATGCTCAAATTCTCAAAACTCAGGTGCTGCAACATTGATTTTTTTAGCTGTGGCATTATGAAGCGCTGGCTTTAGATACCCCGAGGTGTTAAATTAATTGTCATATTTCCCGAGGCTCTGACGCTGCGATTGCTTGATCTGGCATTGGGGCGTTGTGGATCCTGCGACACTAATAGTTAGTGCACTGCGGCGTTGGTTCAATACTTGTGAACTTTTTCCTCTTTCCTTAAACATTTTTGCATAATAACGACTGCAAACGATATTTTTACTGATATTTAAGATAGTAAAACACTATAAAATTTACACTTAATAAATTCTCCGCAGCTTAAACTCTTACTTGTTCTCAAGCAGTGGTGTAATCATCTATTAATTAGCCTAGTAGCCTAAAATAAAAATTGACTACATATGATTATCAAAATGTGAGAAAATACTTCACCATTTATTGTAAATTTGGAATGATCAAAATTAAGCAATTTTAATTGTAATGATCATAAGTAATTATCTTAAACAATCATCCTTGTTTTGCTTAATTTGAACCTATTCATCACAAGTGTAAGAGCAATGATGACTACTAATTTTAAATATGAATAATATATCATTCAAAAAAATTTTGTGATTGTAGTTAAATTAGATGTTCATTTGAAAATCGTCATATGTATTAGTTTTCTTATATTTTCCTATTTGATTTTAATATTTGATTACCCTTAGGAATAGAGCTTTATCAGATACCAATTTTTGATGTACTTATTTTTCTTTTTCTTTTTCTTACTTTCTTTTGATATTTATATTTTTCGTATTTTTAATTTTTTAGTACATAATGATTTTGAATATCTTTATTTTTTTATTCTTTCAAGTAATCCTAAATTGAATTAATATAATGTTGTTAGTACGCTCACTAATTCCATATTTAAGTTTACAATGATTTTTATAATTTAATCTACACACCCTCTTACTCTAAACTCAAATATTAATCCTTTAATTATAAGCCTGTGCTTATGTGTATGGCACTTATGTTCGAAGCAAGACAATACTTAGATGATTTTCTTTAGTTAGTTACTATGATTTTCAAATTGAAAACTATAGTTTTTTATTCATCCAAATTATCACCTAGAGTTTAGTATTATTTTAATTTTAAATAATATTTAATTGCTTTTTTTTAGCTAAATAAGCAATCAAAGTGCAAGTGTTATGTAGAGGACATTTTCAACTGTTAGCAATAGTGAGAATTTTATTTAAATATAAATTGAACTATAACAATAATAACACAAACAATCACAATAATAAGTAAATTATACCACTGATAAATAGAACAATACCAAATATTGAAAAGCATCTAAATTGCTCTAAACTATGCACAACATATTTGGGTTGCCTCCCATGAACGCTATATTTTAAATCTTCAGCCAAACTTTCCTTGATTTTTTTTATTTTGACTGGGTTACATCACTACCACTCCTGATCAAGTGGTCCATACTAAAATCCTTTCCTTTTTTCCTACTGCTTCTCAAAGCAATTTCTTAGTATAAAAATTTTAATTTTTCTACTAGAAAGCTGTTTTAAGAAGAATTAAGAAAGTCATCTTAAACGAAGCCTTAATAAGCAAGTTAACGTCCTTCCTACTTATTCTCTCCAATTCTCGAGTTTATAAACACAAGTATCTTTTTTAGTTGCTTGCATTCTGCAATGATATAGACTCATGGAAACCAGCATGTTTTGCTGTTCTTTGCAGGCTCGGCCTCTCCTTGTTCATGCCCTTGAAACTGGAAACTGTGATCAACTAGTCGACCAAAGACTTGAGAATTGCTATGCAAAGAATGAGATGTTCCGAATGATTGAAGCGGCTGCTGCATGTGTTCGACATTCTGCTCCTAAACGACCTCGTATGGTTCAGGTAATTGTTTCTGGACATTTTTTTTAAAACTATTCCATTAAAGTGGCTTCTGTTAGTAGTAGAACCTTCACTTCAACCTAAGCAGCCTGTACCATTTTCAATAAAAATTGAGTCCCTCACTTGATTTCAAGTGATTGAGCAAGAAATTCTTTACATCCTCCGTTTTCCTGCTTGCATAAAGGTTTTGAGGGCCCTGGACAGTGAAGGAGATATGGAAGACCTCAGCAACGGCATGAAATTTGGTCAGAGTCAAGTTTATGATTCCGGTCAGCATTCAGCAGATATCCAGAGATTTCGAAGAACGGCACTAGGAACTGATGATTTCACTTCTGAATACGGATACTCCAATGAATATGATCGCCGGAGCTCACCAAACAGCGAAGAGTACCGTAGTCATAGTCGCGAGTATCATCGACGTGTGCCGCAGAATCGAGATTTGTCGAACTCACAGAGGTCTGGAGAAAGTTCAGGTGAGTACAGTGGTGAGTCAGAGACTCGTGCTATGTTTCGCAAACCAGTTGAAAGGAGTGATGTTGGAAACTATCGATATGGCAGCAGAGGCTTTCCATGAATCAGGCAACTGAAGCTATGCGAGCAGATGTAGAAGGAATGGCTTTGTCAGCTTCCATGAGCCCTGTAACTTCTTGTAGAAAGGTTAGGTGCTGGAGTAGATTTTTGATTGTTACTAGAGGAATTGCAATCCTGTTCTTTGAGAAGACGACAAATTGAACCATGGCCATTCCTTCTGATACAAATTTTTATCTATGACATGAAATTGCTACTGTTGACTTATTGCTCGCGTATACGCAGCTTCTGATATACTTCCAGTAACTTGTATGTAGAGAGCAGCATTAAAGAAGTGATAAGAGTCCAAGGCTTGATTCAGATCTTTCCACTGTAATGCAAAATGAAGCTTTCTTGTCACAAGATGTACTTGTCGATAGCATTTTTTTCAAGATTTTAAATTGATGAACGTTTGGTATGGCATAGTTTTTTTATTATTTCTTAGAATAATTTTTTAATATAAAAAATAAAATTTTATACAATTTTTTTTTTAAATGCAGTAAAAAAATCGTTCCAAATGAAGCTGAATTCTTCTTCTACTTAAAGTTCCGAGATTCATATATATTTTTTTTTTAAATTGTTCTTTTAACTAGTGCTTTGTGTGCTTGCAAATAAGTGAACGGAAGAACTGTTTAGGAGAATAAATAATCAAAATATAAACATTGTCGATAGTAACTCCATCTTCATCTACAGCGGGCTGACTTCTGGAATCTCTTACACCTTCATGTTTATTCAATGTTTCATGCAATGTCGAAATGAATTTAAAGTATTTGCCCTCTATTTTAAGCCAAAATCTGAATAATAAAGCATAAAGGCAATGTGAATCTTACTCTGGTCATAGTAATTCGATTCAAGTTAAGCAACAAGAGATTTGTTTGTTAATCTGATTAATTTATATCCCATGAAATAATGAAAATTTTATATGTTGCATTTAATTAAAATCATATCCTTTCCTCAAATGAGACACATTTTAGATAAATAGTCATATTCTATCCACAAATGAGAGATTACAGCCAAGCAAAATAATATGATAGTTATCTTATTTTAATGGCCATTGAAGCATTTGATAATTATTTTAATTAATAGCACTTTATTAAATCTCCAATGATACTAAATCCTTGAGATAGGAATCAATAAGATATAATCGATAGAGCATAAAATTCTTTGTTAGCTAAGGTGGATTCAGATTTGTTCTCTAGAAAAATATCCACCCTATGTCTACAAGGCACCATTTGACAAAGCAACCCATGATTGCTGACAAGAATCCTTCTGTCATGTTGGATCAACTACCTCATCTAACTAAGTAGCCAAGGTCACGATTACTTTCAGCTCTGTGGAGCATAAAAAAAATCCTATTTCGTTGTAGTGCATAGTTCGGCAGCTGAGCAATCTCCCACTAAGCCTATCAACCCATCCCGTAGACCTGTTGGAGGTGATTGCTTCAATCCAAGTGGAATCAAGGAGATACGACAATGTTGAATGGGAATGGCGTTGAAGCCCATTATCAACTGGTCTTCTGGTACAACCGATTCTCTACGGTGACGACTTCATTTGATGCTTGTAGTTTTCGCAAAATTTCAAGTTATTTATCAATAATTGCATTTTGCTTCTACTCTATAAAAGCTTCGGTCGTATTACAAGAAAATAGAAAAGGTGAACAAAACATAGATATTTACGATCTTCAAATCGATAAGATCTAAGAAAAAGGATGACAAACTCAATTTCTCAACAACTGCTGATGAGATGCAGTTAATGTGTTATCAAAATAACATAAAACTCTTCATCTCTTTTCTTTATACAAGTACTTTTTTTTTGTCCTGCAAGCTATTAGTTCTTTGGGCTCCGAAAATTCACGCCTCGTCTTTCCAGTGTCTTTTCAAGTGGAGTTTTAATGGATTAAGTTCCGGGATAAATTTTGAAAAGGCAGATTAGGATTATAGATAAGACGCTACCCAAAGATTTCACTCTCAGTTTGCAAGGACTTTATGTTCTGAGTTCTGGTTTCCTATAGGCACAAGCCCCTATAGTTAATTACCCCTCCCGGTCACAAGAGGGAACTTTTAATTAAGGCTAGTCGTTGATCACTGATCAGGTACATAGAATTATGTGTATCTTGGATATAGAAGCAGCATTTGTTTGATATTTAAAAATTGAAATTGCACCCTCTTGAACTTAAAGCAGATGGTGGGGGAATGAATGATGGACGCGATAAAGATCACATGGTTCTGTCATCCCGGGTCTTTATGGTCCCTGGTCTACTTAGTCAAAGGAGGTAGTCGACCCGACCTGACACAAGGATCCTTATAGGAAGTCATGTGATGTTTCGTCCAAGGGTACCTTGTAGACCTGGGATGGATGTTTGTTTAAGGGAATAAATTTAAGTCCACCTTAGCTGATAGAGGATTATGTGCCCTAATGATCATATAATATTGATTCATATCTAAATGATTTAATGCCATTGAGGAGCATACGAGCTATATCCATGATTGTGATTTAGTTGAGCCATTTGGCGGCAAACCGCTCGGTTCATAGGGCCCCGGTCATAAAAATTTACATGCGGTGTCATTTGGCAGAAAAACTATTGGTTCGAGGACACGTGCCACATCCTTTTTTGTAAGAGATTATTTGAGAATGAATCCTAATAATATTCTCGACCAGACATTATCTCTTAGTGAGCTGAAGTATATTTTTGAATTTGTCCACCTCAGCGATTTTTTATGGATGATAGATGAATTTTGATTTAAGTGTTTAAATGGTTAATTTTGATTTTAAATATTTTTAATTTTATTATTTTTGAATTTTAATATTTTTGGAGCTTTGGACTTCACTGGAATTTTAAAGGTGTTTTGAATGCTTTGAATTAACCCATCTGGTTGAGATATATATTCAACATGACCATCATCAGAGTACTCGAGGTCATTTTCACTTATTGATTAAACCTTGTTGATTATGTTATTTATCGATAGAGGATCGAGTACTTTGCTGCCTTTGTGGTTTTGTTAACAGATTTTTCTTGTTAAGAACCTTGAAGGCCTGATATGTACTATAAAACAAATATTTCGATCGATGTCACAACAGTATATTTATTTTATGATTTGAGTCGTGTCGACTCCTATCTACTAGTATATAAAGATCGAGCTCAAACTTGGGTTTATTGTTTGACCCGCACAACATCCCAAAACATCATGTGTACTCATAACACTCTAACCTGGGCCCATGCGTGTTTATATTTATATATGTATACAAGTTGTGTTCTTGAATATGCACTTCTGTGTTTGTGTGCATGCATATTTGGGTGTATATGGTGGGGCATTTTTGGGATATTTTAGTTATGCAGGCAACTGCCATTTGAGTGTACACATCATTCCATTTGAGAGCTTGCATATGACTTCTATCCTCTTGTACGCAGTTTGTGGATCTGGTGGTGTTATGTCGCATTGCATCTTTTTCTCATTTCATACAGGCAGACTGTTGTGCACTACTTGTTGCTTTCTACAAGTAAATTTTAGTGCACTAACGAATCTCATGCTACCGCTTGTAAATACTTGCATTCATCATGAGCTTCTATCTCTTGCTTACTAGCATTTGAATGTGAGCAATGTTATTATCTGTGATTCTGATATTTTGTTGTTACTTGCGAATATCTACATTATAATTTTTTGCCTCATATGTATATATGATGCATTGCATACGTAATAATTCTTTCATTCATATTGGCTAGAGAATTGATGCGTTTTCTTGCGCCTCGACTTTCAGTGTATATTGGAGATTGATATTCTTGCGTATAGGATTGATGAGAATGTTACACATCAAATGTCCTCACTTGTAAGTGATATGTTTGCTAATGATTTTTGCTCCTTTAACTGCGATGAAAGATCAATTTGTATGTCCCCTTTGATTTTCATTGGCTGCAGAATTTGAATGCATATGAGTTGTGTTTACTACAATTATCCCCGTATTTGCTTGTAGGAAGTAGGTTACTCATATGGAAAGTATCCTACAACCACTCAAAAGTGCTTACACTTGTCACGGATCGACTACCTTTTCCTTGCAAGTAGCATGCCGCATGAGTATTTATGTGTGCCCCTTGCAGTATATCCCCTCTAGTCATTTCTATGCTAATTAATGTATTCACTTGAACATCAATTTTATGGCCATAGGAATACCTTTTTTTGTTGCAAGTTATCATCCGTAGGTGGACTGTTACATAAATAAGGAGTCTTCCACAGTGGCTCGTAGGGACTCCCATATGTACTTATGCTTGATTCATGATGTGTTATATTTTATAGTCAAGTTAATGTGCTTGCTTGGAGTTGAATAGCATTTATTATGCATTGTTTGTAGTCACCTATGAGCAGGCTGCTATATGAATGAGGGGTCTCCTATATCAGGTTGTAGACACTCGTAATCATCATATACATCATTATGTGCACTTGCAATAAACTTCATTATTTGCAATTTGACCATCGTATGAATGAGGAATCCTTTGCAGTGGCTTGTAGGAACTCGTATATATATTAGAGATTTGTCGTACTTGTCCATGCATAATACACTGTGTATACATTATATACAACCCTTCACCACTTGTAATGGTTCGAAGCATTTTCTTGCAAGCTAATAGTGACATTAGATGTATCATGCTCGTTACAGTGTCTTTTAGCATTGGTTGTGAATGATGGTATTATGTGCGCTCCTAGTCTTCTATCGTCACTTGCAATTATCTACATCCATCATAATCTGTTTCTTTGAATTAGATGATGCATTGCATGTATAATGGGCACGTCGAATTAACATATTCATTGTGTATTGACCCTTTTTTGCATGTAGGAAATTGTTGTATTTCCTCTCCATCGAGTTATTATAGATTGTTGAAATACCAAGTGTTTTTCTACATTACATCTCTTTTATTATTACTTGCAAGTACACCGTACTTATTTTATATGACTATTGGTGAGTTATCATGTTCGTTGAGAGCTTGCATTGTTATTTGTGAATAAATCAACAATTCATTTCCTATTGGAATTTCAATAAATGTCCCTCATTCGTTCATTGATCTATACTTGCATAATCAAATTCAATGATTGACATTTATGATTTTAGGGTAATTAATTATACATCCATAAAATTAAATTTTGATTTTCTAATTATTATTCAAGCTCGGGTCCACAAGTCCTCTATTGTACAATTACAAGTGATTTATTATTTGATTTAAGCTTGGTTCGTTGCATTTTAGTTTAGGTTTAATATCATATGATCCATTCAAGTCTGAATCCTTATGCTCCTCTTGAGTTCATTTTTTTTTGCATTATGTTCAATTTGAAATTTTTGATTTATTATTTGAGTTCACTTAAGTATTTTTTGTTCATTCAAGTTCAAGTTAAGTCCTTGTCCCCTA